GGAATAATCAGGACGTATTTGCGTGGACTACAGATGAAATGCTTGGCATCCCGGCAGAATTGACAGTCCATAAGCTCAGCACAGATCCCACCAGGAGGCCGGTGGTACAGAAGCGTTGCCTTTTTGGCCCCGAGAAGCAAGCAAGCTGCCATTGACGAGGAGATACAAAAGTTGTTACAGGCAGGCTTCATCAGAAGAGTGGAGTACTCTGAATGGGTGTCCAACCCTGTGCTCGTCAAAAAGCCAAATGGCAAGTGGAGGATGTGTATTGACTTCACCAACCTCAATGATGCATGCCCAAAAGACCCTCATCCCTTGCCAAATGTCGAGAAGTTAGTAGAGCGGGCAGCAGGACACGAGCGGATGAGCTTCCTGGATGCCAGTTCGGGTTATCATCAGGTCCAGCTGTTGCTAGACGACCAGGAGAAAACAGCTTTTTACGCTGGTGATGCGATCTACTGCTATGTCATGATGCCGTTTGGCCTCAAAAATGCTGGAGCAACATACCAGAAGCTGGTGCAAATTGTCTTTAAGCTCTAGATCGGCAGAAACATAGAAGTATATGTAGATGACATGATAGTCACCAGTGTGCGAGCTGAGGATCACATTGATGACCTGGACGAAACATTTCGAAATTTGCGTCGAGCTCAAATGAAACTGAATCCCTTGAAATGCACGTTTGCTGTGGAATCAAGGAAATTCCTAGGGTACGTGGTATCCAAGAAAGGAATCGAAGTAAACCCAGAGAAGGTTGAGGCCGTTCAGCAGATGGAACCGCCAAGGACTGTCAAAGACGTGCAGCGTTTGACAGGCCGTGTTGCTGCGCTGCACAGGTTTATAGCCAGGTCGGCAGAAAGATGCCTCCTGTTCTTCAAGGCCCTGCGAGAGCCCAAGAACTTTCAATGGACCGATGCGTGTCAGCAGGCTTTTGACGAGCTCAAACTATACTTGGCATCAGCGCCCTTGCTATCCAAGCCAGTGGAGGGGGAAAGCTTATATCTGTATTTAGGGGTCACAGCAGAGGCGATTAGCTCGGTCTTACTCAGGGAAGAGAACAAGAATCAGAAACCTATCTGCTACGTAAGCAAAGTCTTACAAGGCGCCGAGCAGAATTACCCAGTAGCAGAGAAGGCTGCTTTTGCCTTGGTTTACACAGCTCGTAAGTTGAGAGCTTACTTCCAATCCCATCAGATTGTGGTCTATACCGATCTACCATTGAGAAAAATATTGCAGAAACCTGAACTCTCTGGTCGGCTTATTGGGTGGAGCGTCGAGCTGAGTGAATATGATCTGAAATTTCAGCCACGCACAACCGTAAAGGGCCAGGCCATTGCAGACTTTCTGGTAGAATGCATCCCAGCAGCTGTGGAAGAAAAGGCACCTGAACACCATTCTGGGTTTTGTATGTGGATGGAGCTGTTAATGTCGAAGGATCAGGTGCTGGAGCAGTGTTACTGGGCCCCAAGGGTTTCAAGTCTGAGCACGCACTAAGGTTTAAGTTTCAGACGACCAATAATGCTGCAGAATATGAAGCCCTCATATATGGACTGAAGCTGGCGGCCGAGCTGAAAGTACAAAACATTCAGGTCTTCAGCGACTCTCAGCTCGTTGTCCGCCAAGTGAGTGGCAGTTGCGACATCAGGGATCCCCAGCTCAGTCGTTATGCCTTCGTGGTTAATAGATTGAAGTCAAGGTTCGCTTCATTTCAGATCGACAAAATACCACGGGCTGATAACCACCGAGCGGACGAACTGTCAAAGTTGGCCTCCTCGCAGGACATCAACCCTCAAAGGTCAACAATCGTCGAGGTGCTTGACGCACCAAGCTACACTGATTTCACAGTCGACTGTCAATTACTTAGTACAGATCCCTCTACACCGAGCTGGACCACCCCACTCATAAATTATCTACAAAGTGGCGACCTGCCTGAAGACCTGTCCGCTGCGAAGTTGATTAAGCGAAGGGCAGCACATTTCACCTTGTTAGATAACCAGCTCTACAAACGAGCAGCCTCAACGCCCCTGTTACGCTGCCTTACTCCGTACGAAGCTGAATACGCTGTGAGAGAAGTTCACGAAGGAGTATGTGGCACGCACATTGGTGGCAAAACTTTAGCTCGGAAACTGCTGAGGCACGATTATTACTGGCCCACTATGGTCGAAGACGCACAGAATTATGTTAGAAAGTGCCCGACCTGCCAGTTCAATGCTGATGATATTCATATGCCAGGTATCCGAGCTCGTTCTACAGTTTATGCTAACCTAGTGACTGTTTATGAACTGAGCATAAATACCTTCCTTGAAACAGGGGAAATGCTATCATCTCTTACGTCTCCCTGGCCTTTCGCTCAATGGGGCGTCGACCTGCTCCGCCCATTCGTCAAAGGCAAAGGAGGCTGCACTTTCCTGGTCGTTGCGGTGGATTACTTCACCAAGTGGATAGAAGCTAAACCATTATCCACGACAACATAAAGGAAAATCGAAGAATTCTTGTTCAATTCCACATTTTGCAGGTATTCTTCAGTGACTTAGATCACAAGTAAAATATATACAAACACAGTTTGTAGCTCAGCTCGTCCATCTGTGTGCAGGTTCGGCATACCTAAGCGGATTATCGCCGATAATGGGCCACAGTTCCGAGCCGCAGCACTGAGATCGTTTTGTAACGACTATGGCATCGAGCTCACATTGACATCCGTGTATACTCCACAATCCAACGGGCAAGCCGAGTCCACCAATAAAATCGTCTTGCGAGGCCTCAAGACACGTGTTATAGCAGCACACTCTAATTGGGTTGACGAGCTCAACAAAGTACTCTGGTCTTGTCGCACCACACCAAGCTCGGCCACGGGCGAAACCCCTTTCAGCCTGGCCTATGGAGCTGAAGCCGTCATCCCAGTAGAGGTGGGATTGCCATCCGATCGAGCAGGCCGGCATGACGATCTCAACAATGAGCAACTTTTGAGAGAAAACCTGGACTTCGTGGAAGAGGTCAGGGAGATGTCTAGAATAAGAAACGTGGCACATCAAAACCGTGTTGCAAAATTTTACAATAAAAGGGTTCGGGCTCGCCAGTTTCAGGTTGGCGATCTGGTTCTACGCAAGGCTGGGTTAACTAACACTCATTCGCACATGGGCAAGCTCGCTCCTAATTGGGAAGGTCCCTACATGGTGATTCGGGTTAAGCGACCTGGCTCTTACGTGTTAGCAGATATACACGGGCATCAGTTACCTTACCTTTGGAATGTACAGAATCTTAGGAAGTTTTATAGTTAATGTGTGTTATGTTATTCCGCTTGAAGTACTATCCATCAGTTGTAAACAAACAATATACCGAAAATACAACACAAATTTGAAGAGAAGTTCATTTTGTATTTCATCAAAGACAGTTACATTAAAAGTACATGTTATGGATTCATTGATCAAATACAAAATGCAAAAACAAGGTACAAAAAGGTCAAAAGAAAAAACCCTAAATCTAGTCATCCGTCAGATCGACGGGCATAGATGCATCAGCAGCAGCTGCAGGAGAGCGAGCTGGAGGAGACTGGGCTGCTGGCTCGATGGCTGGTTCGCTGACGGGCGAGCTGGCCAGCAACACAGCGGGCTGAGAGCTGGGTGGGGTACTCGAAGGCTCCTGCTCAGCCACAGGAGCACCCTCTACCTAGGCATCAAAGGAGGGTAGTCCTGTTGGATCCTCTCCGTCCTCAAAGACCTGAGGAGGCCAAACAGGCACTCCCTCCTCGTTGAGGTCCCACCTCAACCGCACCGTGGCATCAGCTAGGGGAGTGAGACTCTTCCCCTGTTCGTCCAGGTCCTCCTCGTCAAAGAACGCCAGCTCGCCAATCGGGAAGTCCGGGCGGTGTCGCAGCACCTTCCCACGGATCTCGTTGTAGATCTCCGTGGTTACATTTGCAGACGCCACCGCCACGGCGTCCTGAAAGGCAGCTGCACCCAAGAACCATTCCGCCCCTTGAGCTCGGGCGATGCTGACAGAGCGTGCATGGGAGGCCTTCAGCTCGTTCAATGCCTCCCCGGCAGCAGCGAGGTTCTGGTCAGCTTCAGCGATCTGGCGCCTAAGGGAGTTCAGCTCGCTCTGAGCTTGGTCCCTTTCCGCCTCAGCCCTTTTTGCTCGATCTTCAATGCGAGCGGCCTCATCCTTCGCTGCCTGGATGCCGCTCTCCTTTTCAGCGCGAGCTCGCTCCAAGTCTTCCCTGAGCTCGCCGTTTTGGGTTGCCAACGTTTCTGCTCGGCTCTCTGCAGCCGCGGCTCGGTTCGCCATTTCAGAACCCTGCAGACGATTCACATCGTCCACAAGGCTGGCCTTCTCAGCAGCCAGTTGCTTGCACTTCGAACCGAGCTCGCTGTTTTGTTCCCGAGCCGCCTGATCGCTCTCGTAGAGCGCCACTGCGTAGTTGAATGCCTGCCAAACGGCAACAATAGTAAGTACCAAAAAAAAAAAAAGAAA